TTAATGATCTGCAGGTTTGGGACAAATACTGACAATATTGAGCTACGTGGCAACGACTTATAAAATAGCAAGGGAATGTAAGAATATGATAGTTTCACAAAATTAAACGGCTAAAGCAAGCAGAACTCGGTGAATAATTTGTAGCTGTAGTAGGGCATTAAAAATACAGAAACAGATGCATCTTTCTTCAACATAAAGTGTCAGATATATACTGTTATACTGTTGTAGCCGTGTAGCACATCAACTCCAAGAATATAGCTTATTCCTGTCCAAAGAAAAAAATAGTTGTGATGTTTTTGAGTGGGTCTATGTTGTAAATTTACAGTTAGCACCAGCTCTGATTAAAATGAGATAATGTACTATAGGTAGACAATATTGTAATTCAGTAGACATGTGGAATATGCAAACTTCTTACTGTCATGTGACCTCAAAAAAAAAAAAAAAAAAAGGCAGGCTAGAATACAGTTCCAGTAGCTCTTGTCCACTTCTGTAGGAAAATTGATAAGCCATTGTGGCAATAACAGCTCAACAAACTGTTTGTTTCAAAGCTTCTATTCTATGTTCTGCAAAAAACAAAACAAAACAAAAAAAAATTGCTGTTAAGTGTGACAGTGACTGACTTTGTGCTGAAATTTCAGCTATTTCAGATGAACATTGTATATTATCTTGTAAATTAATGTTTAAAGTAGTTTTGTTATTATAGAAAAGTGTTGATTGACGGGTTGCTTATAGCACTTTAAATTATTCTAGAAATGGAATAAAAGCCAAATGGGTTGGCTTAAGTAGATGTAGTTGTATATTATTTCAAAATATTTACATCTCTGGAAAGTTTTAAAAACTTATTTGAAGACAGCTTACTGCTATGGTAATGAGAAAGGGCAGATGTTTCATCTATAATATGCTAATGCTCAATATGAATAGAAATACAGGGCTTTGTTTCCTGTCTCTATGTATAGCTCTTTATCCTTATTAGAACTTAGTGCAATGTGTAGACTAAATGTTTACAAAATAAGGAACTGTAAATAAATTGAAATGGCTTTTCTCCCCTTTGGTCTTCCACAGCAGTATTATTGTCTTTGTGGAGTTAAGACTGATTATTACAACAACAAAAAAATCCTGTAATGGATTTTAAGTACTATAAGGTCATAGTGATGTATAGCAAATAAATCTAAATATATGTAAAAATAAACTTGAGTTGGAGTTTATTTAGAAGTTGGAGTTTACTTAGAAGCACAAATGCAGATTATTGTTGTTCATTTAATAACTTTACTGAATATGTAGGATGCATTTGCTCATTTTTGGGGATTTTTGGTTTTTGAAAACCAAATGGGAAGCAGTAAGTGAAATACGCTGTCTTTGGCCATTTTCAAGAGGGGGTTGGGGGCGAAAGTCTCAGATTATCCTTTCTGACAAAACCTATTAATTCAAGTGCTTAGTCTCTGTCCTAAGCTCATATTGCAAGTAAAGCCTATTTTAGATTTTAAATACTACTGTGAAGAGTTTTATAAAGAATTATACTTTGAAGAATTATATAAAAGCACAGAAAGTGTTCTGTAGCTGACCGTCTCTGAGTCTTGGACCAATCTTGGAAAGGCACATGGGGGAAAAAAAAAAAAAGTGGAAATCAAGAACAGTATAGTAAACAGTACAATAGCAATTACGCTTGTATAAATACTAAATAAGTTAAGGAACAGAAAGACATTCAAGTTACAGTATAAATGACTGTGGTAACAGTGATGTGACTAGCTGTGTAAAGGATCCACCACGAGTAATGCATGTTCATTAATGAAAGACCATGAATTTTGTTAACCAAAGGTGTAGTTAACTTCTGTATGACACATATAAAAGACTGTGTAGATGAGATCAAAGGCACTGTCTTGATGTACCTGCTGCCTTCAATTCAATATGAGTTTTCTGCAGTATAATTCCTTTCCATCTGTCCTGGCAAGGTTTGCCTGTATGATTGTAAAGAGTTGAGGTTTGACATATGCTGAAGGCCTTGAGCTACATTTTTTTGAAAGAGTTTGGTTCCAAAGACTGTATCTCGGCATACAGTACTCAGGTGTATTCATGGACTAACTTGATGTTTTGCTCGGATATCCGAGATTCTTACCACATCATCTTTCAGCTCTAAATCCTATTTATGTTAATTAATGCTTTTGTATAATCTGCAAAAAGGACGTAGTTTCTCAGGTATGGCTTGTGCCTGCATCCTCCTGCTCACCTATATATACTACGTTAGAGATTTTTTTTTTTTCTTTGTATGGGAGTTAGCAAGTCTGCATAAAATCCAGTCTTTGAAGAGTAGTAAGACCATTTAGTACTCACTCTATTTCAAGTTAAAAAAATAATAATAATCTTGATTTGGATACTCCCCAGTATTCCTCATTCAGGACTTGAATCTTCAATCTCAGTTTTATGTTCTTCCTTTGTAAATGAGCACATGTCATCAGAGTGTTTTACTGTTGTCACAGCAACAGGGAACTCAGTTAAGGGAGTAAACCTCTGCTCTTTCTCCCCTTCAGAGTACATGCTGCTGCAATATGAAATAGGCTATGTTGTGGTACTGGAGCAGAGGAAGAGAGTGTCCAGCTGAGTGAATGGTGTACACTTAGTGTAGGATGTACAAACCAAAGTGGTGCTGCTGGCTGTCCCACTGCGGTACCACCAATGTCAGGTCTGTTCAAGCTCTGCTTTCTGCTGATCTGCTTATCTGACAAGCTGTGTCGAGTTTCTGTTGTTACACAGCTACTAGTACACATGCTGTTGAACACTAAACTACTTTCAGTGTGCCCTGTGGTGGCAGGAGTGACTTCAGCTGAGATGTTGGTGTGGTGCAATGTGTACATAGCAGCTAAAGTAGCTGTGGCAACAGGGCTTGTCAATATTTGTTCTGTGGTCAATGATGATTGAACAGCTCACCACAAATGTTATACTTTCCACTACAGCTAATTTTATTTCAGTAGCCTTCCATTGTTTTAAAAATGAGCTGAATAATGTATATACTGGACATATATAAAAGATACATAATTTTATATATATAAAAATA